TATCAGCTACAGGGTTCTGACAAAAGACACCAGGCACCCAGGAGAATGTCTGGATTAGAGGAGATTTTGAGAAGAGGCAGTTGACCAAGTAAAATTTTTTCATTTTTACTTTTGGTTTCTTGCTCTTTCTCTTTTAGTAATAATTAGTTACTATGAGTGTGCTTAGAGCATATACAGGTGCTTTGGCCTACAATTGGCCAAAGAGCCAGAAACGAACCTGACGAGCAGCCACAGCAGACTCCAGAAGGCCATGCTTCCTGAGTAGATTTTGTACATCTGCCAGGCCTCTCCCATAATCCTCAGAGGCAGCCTGCCACTTCACCTCCTCCAGCCAGCGCTTCAGATCTTCTGCATTATTTTCAAATTGCAGCAGCTTGTTAGCTTTATGCAACTCAGTCCCTGGGAGAAGACATTAGGTATAAGACAGGTACCATAACTGCTCCTCATTGCACAATAATATAGCTGCCATTGACTTAAGGAGCAATATAATATTTTGATATTGCACTGGGAAAAATATATAACTGTCTCATGCGTGGTTGTTCAAGAAGTCACCTTAAATTTGTCGAATTTAAATGGTATTGTTTTTGAATACAGTAGTGTTCTCAAAACAAAGATAAACAATAGGTTCACTCCCTGGTAAGGCATAGCGCTGCTGTATTAGATTTTAACCATCTTAGGTATTTTCACATGTCATTTGTTACTCTCTTTTGAGACCTCCTTTTCAAAGGGATTCAAACCCAAACACTGCACTTTCCAAGAGAAGTACAAAACTTGGGCTTGGCTCAGTTTGAAATTTTGAAGTGTCTTTTTATAAATGTCTTTCTCAGAGTTTTACTAGCTCCCTTTTTTGTGCCTGTCCTTCATCATAAACCATGCCCCATAATTTTCTCTTCTGTAAAATGTCTTAATTATCTACATTGTTCTCAGCTAAATTCTTTATTCTAAGACCTTATAAAACTATTTACATTATTTCTGAGAAGCAATTACTCTATCTCCTGATGGTGGAAAGTAGCAGCAACTTCTTATTGTTACAGCCAAATTGGATTCTTTTCCTAAACCAAAAATCAGGATGACACTCAACAAAATCAGTATGATGTATGTCTTCTATGCCAAGGCAGAGTCATGTCTATAGTTGATGTTCATAACAAGAGGAATATTGAGGGGGAAACTGATTATTTGTGTTATATTATGACAGTTGATTAATTTTCCAGTGTAAGAGGGGAGGATAAATCTAAGTAGAGAATATTCAAACAGACATGTGGGAATATTTTTCAGGCTTACAGCAGAGCCTGAACACTTTCAGATAGGTGAAAAAAGCAAAAAGTCATCAAACCCTATTTATAAGACTAAAATATTGTAGGAACATCGCATGTGGCACTGACAATATTTTAATGTCTAATTTAATAACCTGAATCATAATATCTTGTCTCATCCTTAAAACCAAAATATATAAAACCTAATTTAAGGACACTAGTTTTAGGTGCATAGCCAATACTGAATTCATGATTCCTGAATATTTATTGAAGAGAAAGAAAAAAAGAGTTGGAGAAAAGTGAAGGAAAGCAAAAATAATTTCAGTTAAAAAAACCTACATACACAAAGAAAACATAAAATTGCATAAATATATAGTGTGATAAATTTAGGTTGGATTTTAAAAGCTACTTGACCAATAAGGGAAGCAAATTTAATAGCATCCCTTCTCATAGAGGTCACCAGGTAAATTCAAGGTAGTAAAGATGAAAACAGTAGGTTTCAGAATTTAGGAATTAACCTTTCACCAAAACCTCTGCTTCTAACCTTTCTGTTCTGTAGCCTCCAGCAATTCCTTCCAGAGTCTGTCAACTTCATTCACACGAGCAGTTACAATGTCAGAAGCATAGTGATCATCCTCAATCATCTTCTGGCCAGTTTTTTTTAGGTCATTGAGCAGAATCTCATTAGCTGCCAGTTCCTCTTCAAAGACTTGTTGCTTTTGAACCTGGCTTTTCAAGTTCTGTGTATCCTGAGACAAGACAAAAAATAAAAGGAAACCATTACTTGATGAATAAGGGGCAGAAATTTTTGAGGACGGGGTTACTTCTCACTGTACATATAATTTACTAAGAAGAGAAAATAAGAGATAATTGTCCTAGTCCAAGCACAGAGCTGGACAATGCTTAGGAAACTCTGGTGACCAACCGCTCCTTTTCTACACGTGGCAAACCTGGCTGATCAATCCCTGCCTTTATTTCTGCAGAGCCTAGATATTTCCTGAAGATCAATTTGAATATGACACCCCATGCGTGTATTAAGAATCAATCAGATCTGTCATGAAAGATGGATTTTTTTCCATCCTTGCCCTAGTACATGAACCACCCATCCATTTGCTCCAAAGAGAGAAGATCCATTTACCCTATACACACTGGAACCATAACTCCTCCAGAGAACACAAACACATATTATGGAGTTTCACAGAATGAAGGGTACAGATAAGATGCTCATAGTTCTATAAAGACAGAAGAACAAAGAGATCAGAGGTATACATTTAAGACCACATGAGATATAGAAAAGTAAACATTATGAATAGATATTGGCCTAGAAACCAAGAGACTAATTCTAGCCCTGACTGTAAACATGAAAGTTTGTGAGCATTTATATGTGTGTATAATAGTTTATATTACATAATATTTGTGAGTAAAAAACATCTGTTTTACACAACCCCAAGGTAGAGAAATCTATGGCACAGAGATAATTCAGGAATTTCCCCAAGTCACATAAACTAAAGGAGAAAAGAGATAGAATTCAAGCCAAGGTTCACCTTCTCCAGAATTCATGCTTCTAATGCTTATGTTAAATTGCCTTCTAAATAATTGGATAACTTTGGGCAATTCACTTTCCATTTAAAATCTCTGACTTCCTCATCTATAAAATAAGGAGTTGTTCCCTTCCAGCAACAAAACTGTGTAAGTCCATATTAAATCAAACTCTTAGGTTACTTTTAAGTTCCAAGTATCTTTCAGTAACATTAAAGGTACATTGGGCTTAGATACAATATTTTCCTACTATAAAGGTGCAGAACGGAGCAGAAGAGGTGGTCAAGGGACTATAAGCAGCTGACTGAGGAGCAGTCCCTCCCTTTCCTCATTCTGCTAAGGACCATTGGAAGTTATGCCAGAGAAAAGGCATGAGGGGCAGCAGGGTATAGGAAAACCAGAACCTAGATTCTTGTCTTTTAACTAGATGTATAACCTTGGTGAAGTCATTGCCCTTCTCTGAGACTCTGTCTCCTTATCTGTAAAATGAGCCTCACTAGCTGGACCGTATCATCCATTCAGCTTCAAGACTCTTATTCCACAAAACTGAAGTTCTGATGGGTACGTCCAGGGTCTGAAAATCCTGCCTACCTTGTACTCTTCATCATCTGCCAACTTTTTCTTCTTGTTGATCCAGTTCTTTAGGTCATCTGAGTCCTGATTCAGTTTCTGCAGAAGCCATGAATCCTCCAGCAATCTGCGTCGAATGGCAGCCCTTTCACGTAGGACATCCCGCCGAGCCAACAACTGCAAAAACCATGAACAAAGTCACTGTCAGCAAAGCTAAATATGGACAAATGAGATTTACTGTCCACCTGGATCACTATGCCCCCAACACTTTTTCTGACCCCAATGCACAGACAGGCAAACGCACATCTGGGACCTTGGACATACCGTGTCCCGGATAGCACCAATGTTCTCTGAATCATAATGGTCATTATCAATCAGTTTGGTTGCAGTCTTGTCTAAGGTCTGAAAAAAAAAACAACAGAGTGGTTTTCCTTCAGCAGCCACTGAGTAAGTGGCTACAGTTTGGCTAGCTGTTTAAAGAGGAAGCATAGCAATGTTGGAAGAGGACAAGTTTCAGGATCAGAAGATCTAGGTCCTAGTTCTGATTTCTATTACAAATTGTATTTCAAAATATATATCTCAGGCAGGTTAATTACCCTTTCTATGTAACAATATTTTGAAAATCTAGGTTATAGTAAATGAATTTCGATGTCACTGAAAGATGAGTATTTGATTTATTCTTAAATTTTCAACAGGAAGCACTATTGATATAGCCATCTTCAGTGGTCTGTCTATCTATCTGTCTACCTAGCCATCATATATTATGTATATATATTCCTATCTACATTTTTATCTCTGGACACATGAGGAGAGGAGTCAGAAATTGTAGAGGTTAATTTTTACTCATATTCATTTATGAACTCCCAAAACTGCTAGAGCTCAGGATGGATTGGTTGAGAATAGGAAAATCATCTAAAATAAAGGATAGCCTTTTATAAACAATACACTGTTAGCTTTTACCAATGAGAATCAGCAGAACAATCCTATGGATTGATAATGGACCATATTATGCTCCGTATTGACTGAAGATTTACAGAGAAGACTTGGAATTTTATTGTTATTGTTGTTGCTGGTGGTGATGGTATATGTGCGTGTGAGCTTAAAGCCAGCACCATCCGAGGAGACAGCCAGAGACATAGAGTATATTGGGGTAATAAAGTCTTCCTCACACTTCTCTGAGCCCTGCTTATACATTGACCAGTTTCTGGGATATTGTAATTTATGGTTCACAGGAAAACTGTAGTAGCCTAGCATCAGATGAGAGACACAAAGATGAAGGTATACTTATACAGCAATAGAACAGATATTACTTAGCTATCTAGATATTACTAGAGAAACCTAAATGGAGACATTACTGGAAAAGAATACACTGAAAAAGTAAATTTCAAACATTATAACCTTTAACTAATGATTCTATATCAGATATGGATCCAATAGTTTTTATTTACACTGCAGAAAAAATTAAGACAATCATGCACTTCATTTGAAAATATAAATGGCTTGAAATCTTTAAAAACTGTCTAAACATGCTTTATGGAATAAGAGATGTGGTGATAAAAATGGTACGATTATTTTTCCAGATGTTTGCTCTTTTAAGAATAATCCCCATGTTATGTCTGATACTTATCAGCGATTCTACGTAAGGATGAGTATTGTATGAGATGACATATACAAACATGAAGCCACTGCCCAAACCAGGGCCCATTTCTTACTGTGATCTTCTCCTCCTGGGCAGTAAAGGCTTCTTCAAAATCATCATGCTTCTGACGAAGGGCTTCCACACTGCCCAAGGAGTTTCCCAGGTCCTCGTTTTCCAGGAAAGCCTATGAGAAGACAGAAAGACATATCCCAGCTATGCCTCATTGGTGAGAAACATTCTCTTTGGAATATCTCTAAGACAAGGATGAAGAAAGGTGAGAGGGTTGGAGAGCAAAGTGGGAATTAGCTCAAAGTAGTATGGTAGGTAGAGACTAACATCAAACAGCAGGACATTCAGATTTCCTTCCCAATCGTCTCACACAACTTTATCAACTTTGTCCACATAGAATTCTCCCAACGAATCCAGGCACCAGTCTTGAGCTCTCAAAGCTGCCTTGAGAAGACCATTCGCCACCTCTAAGATATCTCTGGTTAACTCTGCCTGACTCATCACAATTTTCTCTTTCTGACCCCTTTGCAAAAAAATTATTTTTCTTCGTGTTCAGTAGAGGTTAAAACCCCCCTACTGTTCATTTAGGTAGTTTTTCTACTCATTTGTCCATGAGAGAATTGTAGGAGCCTTATAGAGAGGGTCAATCTTTTCTTCTCCTTATGGATCACCCTCCAGTCCTGAGGACAAGCTTCAGACCATAGAAGTGCTTCTGAGGATGCTGAGAGTAGTCATGGTGGAAAATGAGGAGTGGGAGAAATGGTGTGGGACACTTGCTGAGACCCTCCTGTTACCTCTTGTCTACTCATCCAACTGTCCACTTGCTCACTGTCACGGTAGAAGAGGTGCAAGTCCAAACACTGCTCATACTGATGCTGACGCTTGACCCACAGTTCCAACAGGGCTGCCCAGTTATTGGCAAGTGTTTCCATCTTTAGAAAGAAAGAGATAATGTATCCGGAAGATATTTAATTATTTTATCCTACATTTACTGGACATCTAATAAATGCAAGGTCTTTTGAAGGATACAAAAATGAACAGGAAATGCACTTTTCTCTTAAGTCTCCATTCTCTAAGCAAATAACTGTAGTATAGGAAAAATGAGATAAATATCATAAAAGAGATATAACACACTTAATATGTATAAATAAGCAAGAAAAGATTAATTCTGGTTGGGAGAACCAGGGAGTAGAAGTATAGAAAGTATGGTACCAAACAGAGATTTAAAGGGTGGAGAAGGGGGATCAGGATTGTAGGAGGACATAATGCCACAAGCAAGTAATTGCTCCAAGTAATTGTTAGGTCATACAAAGTGCTCCAGAGAAAAGTGCTATGTCTAAAAAGGGTGGACATTTGGAGAAATTCAAGTTCTAGAGCAGTTAAAATACCAGACTGATAAATTTGCATTCTACTCTGAAACCAAATAAGAACCATCAAGAAAAGAGAAAAGTGTCATTCTCACCCATAAAAGCTTTGGTTTCTGCCCAAGCACCTGCCCAAGAAATTCCAGCTTATTAACACAGCTGCCGTGTTAACTCCATCCAAAAGACAGCACGAATTCTCAGGATCCCAAGATAAGAGGTAAATTTTTAGGACTTAGAGTCCTGCTATTGCTTTGGCAGAAAATTGTTAATAATAGAAATCTGTATTATAATGTTCTCATAGAGTTCTGGGGGAATTCAAAATACAGTCATCTCAACCTCATCCATCATAGTGCTGGAGGCTGAACGTGGAATCTAATGAGATGCAAAGAGCCTGCAAATCTTATTTTAATTATCATCTCAGGGAGTTCCTGTGACTCTGTGACTAGAGCAAAATCTCTCTGTGTCAGGGGGTTGAGGGGAGCCCCTGTGATCAAGGAGGTTAGGATAATGGCTAACCTGATTCTTCCATCAGTGGAATTCTGAGTGCTTAAAGCTTTCTTTTTACTTAATGTAAATTTGAGATACACAGATATAGGGAACTCAGTTTTCTCTGAGGTTGTTTAGAGGAGAGATGAAAAGGCACAGGTGTCAGCCACGTGCCAGGCATTGTGCTAGGGAATCCAAACATGAAAAAAATGCAGTCCTCATAGAATTTACACTCTAGAGATGAGCATGGGAAAGTGATAAAATGCAGCATATGTGATGAGGCAAGATGGTATAGAGGTTTCATATTAGGTAGAACGTAGGTTGATGAAAGTAGGTAGGTTGATGAAATAAAGCTTCAGAGATGTGGAAGCACACATCATGTCCTGAGACTTTCAAATGACTCAGTTTAGCTAAAGCAATATGAGAAGGGAGCAGTGTGAAATTTGGGTCCATGTTATTAATATGTTTACATGACTTCTATCCTCTTGCCATTCAGAGATTATCATATTATTATGAGATTCATCGAGGGCTAAATATCCATCAAAATTTCACGAACTCTGTGAAACTAGATTACCTTTTCCCGAACTTCCTCAGAGGCTTCATGATTTGCATCCAGCAGGTCTTGACCAGTCTCAGCAGCTGATTGAAATCGGTCGTCATAAGAGTCAATCTCATGCTGTGGCCACAAGACAAAACGTCTTAAAATGCAGCAAGAAACGTTCCAACATTCTTGGCATTGAGCCAGGGCACTTCCCTTTCCTCCTATTGGGGAAGCCTTTCCTGTCTACCTTGTGCTGTCGATGCCTGTCTAGTAGGGCTTCCCCACCAGCCACATCTGTAGGCAGCTCATCAGCATTGATCAGAGCAGTCTTCTCTGTCGTCCAGCCAGAGAGCTCATCATAGTCAGATAAGAATCGCTGGTACCTGAGGGAAAGGTAAAGTAAAGGACAGGAAGGAGAAGCCCGATGTAAATGGACTTCGAATGATGTTAGGGTGGGACTGAGCTAAGATGTGGCACATGCTCCTCACGCTAATCCTACCCTTCCATTCCCCTGATGTACTTCGGGTTCTGTTAGTGGTGCAGGTTGCAAGTCCTTCACTTCAGGTTGTCTATTCCTTGGGTAGATGTGTCATGGTGTGATGAGGCACATGGACATTGCATCTCCAACATCACAAGATCACACCTACCCTAGAGGGACTTAAAGTGGAGTAAAATAAATGAAGCCAATAAATAAGTACATAACATATAAATAACAGGAACCACTTCGTGAGAAGAGGGGACTAGACTTAGGGTTAGGAGCCTTCACATATCTTAGTTCATCCTAAACTCTATTAATAAAAAACAAAAACCAGGGCCTGCCTGGTGGTATAGTGATTAAGTTCACACACTTGGCTTTGGCGGCCTGGGGTTCGAGGGTTCCGATCCTGGGACCTACATACCACTCATCAAGCCATGTTGTGGCAGCACCCCATTTACAAAGTAGAGGAAGACTGGCACAGATGTTAGCTCAGGGACCATCTTCCTCAAGCAAAGCAGAGGAAGATTGGCAACAGATATTAGCTCAGGGCTAATCTTCCTCATCAAAAGAAGTAAATAAAAATTAAAAATAAAATAAAAAAAAAAAAACACAAACCACTAAAATGGTTACCTATTCAAAAAAGTAAATGCTCACCATTTGATTTTAAATCATAACAATAAGATAAAGACTGTTCTCTGGTGATCTAAGAACTAACTATAAAAATTAAATACTGAACTAATACCCAGTTATTTGACCAGCTAACCCACATTCAGGAGACAATTCTGGATTTATTTTTATGCTCTTTGGCTTAGAAATTGAGATTTGTTTCAGTTAGCACCAGGATTTTGAAGTTTCTTCAGCTGCTCTTCCAGTCCTATGGGCCATTTCATAGCACCCTACAACCACACAAACAGAGGAAGACAGGCGTGCAGGTTAGGGCAGGTGTCATGCTGAGCATTATATCAGCCTGCAAAGGACTTCCTTCGGCAACTTAAAACTTCTTTTGCCTCTACTGAGCAAGCAGGAGGGCTGAGTCTCTCATTATTTTTCTCCTTTCATTCTTTAGTTTCTGCTTTTGGTCTTATACCTGGACCCTGTAGAGATAGGTAGAGCAATAGAGAGGAGAATTTTCCCACCAATAAGAAGCCTTTAGCTTTGCATATCTGTTGGTAGCCAACGCTCGAATGTGCTCCCAGTTGGAGACGAGATCCTCTTTCATCTCTTGAATCTGAGGTGCATCTGAAGGATGAGAAAGCTTAAGTTTCTCTGCTTTGGCACATAACTCCTTCACCTTTGGGATGAAAAAGAAACCTAGTGGGAAATCCAAGCACTCTGACTCCTCGTGGCAAAGTTTTATGGGAGGTATGTAACAAAACAATCATATGAACAATAATAATTTACTAATACACTTATAGTGAAATGTTTAGATTAATATACTAATGTACTATATTAATAATAAAAATTTACTGAGCTTTTTATCTTTCACTGTGCTAAGCACTTCGCATGCATTTTCTCATTTTATAGTTTTCCTTTAATAATATTGTGAGGTAGAAACTATTCTTTTTTCCTGTTTATGAGAAAATTGAGTGGTAAAGTATTTTACTTACTCAAGGTCATTCAGCTAGTAAGTGTCAGAAGCAAGTTTAGATCTAAGTCTGTCCTTCGCTACCCTCTATACTGTTTCCATAAATATTGTTGTGGGAATCAGAAAGAAATTTCTACCAGGAAAATTTCTGCCAAGAAAGTTCCATTAATGCCAGACCATTTTGAGTACAATTCCTGGGGAGCAGGGTTACTAGGGCAAAAATATGAATATGGGTGACTTTCCACATGTCACCATTAGTCCTTTCATTATACTCAACTATAATCGGGTGTTGTATAGGATTTAAGATTTTATTATCATTATTCATAAAATCATGGGATTTTATTTTTCATTATTAAGATAAAAGACCAAGGACAAAAAACATGCAAGAACGGAAGAAGGAGTAGAATGGTGGAATAGTTTTCAAAAACTGGACTCAGGGACAGAGCTATCACTAAATCACAGTAAGTGGGGCATCTTCCTGTGAGGTGACTCCATTGTAGAAGCTGAGGAGTAATTGCCTTAAGTTATGGTTAAAGTTGTGAGGGGAAGTAAGGATGGGAATCATTCAAGAATACAGCCTTGGGCCAGCCCGGTGGCTTAGCGGTTAAGTGCGTGCGCTCTGCTACTGGCGGCCTGGGTTCGGATCCCGGGCGTGCACGGATGCACCGCTTCTCTGGCCATGCTGAGGCCACATCCCACATACAGCAACTGGAAGGATGTGCAGCTATGACATGCAGCTATCTACTGGGGCTTTGGGACAAAAAAAAAAAAGGAGGAGGATTGGCAATAGATGTTGGCTCAGAGCCGGTCTTCTTCAGCAATCGGAGCAGGATTGGCATGGATGTTAGCTCAGGGCTGATCTCCCTCACAAAAAAAAAAAAAAAGAATACAGCCTTGCTCCAAGTTGTAGTATGCCTATGTCTACTCCTCTAAGTAAAGGAACTGGATTTTCCCAGGTTTTGGAGGAGAACCCAAAGGTGGATTTAGTAAGCTCTGTGTTTATTATAACAAGGGAAGAAGAAATGTCTTCCCTTATCTACTGAGTGAAGGACAAAAAGAAACAGGATTCAGCCGCAACAGAAGAAAGTATGATTAGATGAAAGGAAAGATCTCTGGCCACAGGGTACTGAGTAAGATTGGGAAACCATTCTTGGAGGTATCTTCTTTGTTTTTTAATCATGAAATATATTACAAAAAACACAAGAGTATGCAAAACACATATGTGTATTTAAATAAAAGTAATTTAAATAAAAACAAGAGATATCCAATATTCACATACAAGTTATGAACTAGAGTGAGGAGGTATATTCAAGGGCCACAGAATTTCTCCTTCATTGAAACAGTGAATTTATTGTATCCTCTGGAGGCAGGATGACCACTAAATGCCTCTTCTAGCTCAAGGGGCTAGCCCTTCCTCCAACAGTGGCTTACCTTGTCATCCATGACTGCAAGGCTCCTCTCAAGTCTCTTGTGATTGTGAAACAGTGCCTCAGAGCTAATAAGGTCTTTGCCATAGTCTTCAGAGGTGAGTTGAGGCTCCTTCTCCTTGATCCACTGGATGGCTTCGGTCACATCCCTGCCAGATATCAACATGAGCTCCAAAAAAAGAAGATGGCAGGCATTCCAGGGCAAACAGAGCACACAGCAAGGACCACCCTACTTCACCCAGTTAGAAATTACCGTCTTCCTACACACTAGCAAAATGTAATGTAAGGTGTTTTCGCTTTTAACGGTTTCCATTGAGATGTAGGGACCTACACATCCTGAGTGTTGAGCCTCCAGATATACTTCCCATATCTGGGTCAGCTCTTCGTGAATGTCTTTCTTCACAACTCCACCTTCCACCTCCATCCAACTCTTAATCTGCTTTCCTTGCCTCTGATGAGCTTCCATCATAATTCACTAGTGTTATTTTTATTGCTTTGAGCTCCATTTACCACAAACTTGGCTATAGGGCAGGTCATAGTTTTCTTAACTATCCCCTCCCTTGCTATCTTAGAGGCAAGCACACGACCTTTTTTGGTTTGAGATATTGGCCACTAATTGTTAATAGTAGACAGAGGCTAACATAAATAACAAACATGGTGCTGTTGCAGAGTTTCTTATATTGTGGTGGCCAGATTCATACCTTTTGAATCGCTGGAGGTCTGTAGCATCAGACAGTGTTTTCTGTCTCTGGAGAGCCAGACTGTAGAGACGCTCCCAGGCAGAATTCACCTCATCCTGCTTTGACTTAATCAAGGGCAGCTCCGGATGGTTCTCCTGCGGGAGAAAACCAATGCTGGAATTATGCCAAGGTGAGATTATTCTAAAAATCATTTAAACCCTTCTCATTTCACACTGGTTCATACTTTGTCAGAAGTGGAGAATGACCATTTAGCCAGATGTTGAACTTCACCCTAGCCCTGCCCACTAGCTTTAACCTGATCCACATTACCAAAATCCAGAAAGCCAACCTGCCAGATATTGTGTCTTTTGCCCACAGCACTGGGCTAGCCTGCTAATAACATGATGGTTACCCCACCGTGATGTTATTTTCAGAACCCCACTTTGTTGATGCCTGCCAAATCCCCTGAAAATCCTGAAAACCAAGGAGAAGAAGAGAAAATTCCCTTTGTGAACTACGACTTAATTTTCCAAAACTCTAAGAGTGTGGTTCTTCACTCTTTTGGGGTCCTGAAACCTTTGAGAATCTAATGAAAGCTATTTCTCTCTTATCAGAATTATACACACTTAAATACACATATAATATATAATATACACATACACTATCGGAAGCAATGAGATTTATAAATACTGATTAAGCTAGCAGCATCAGCCTATTTTGATATTTGGCAATTTTGAGTAGTTCCTGTATGCCCAAGTCCCTGTTTCTTCCAGTTCCATTCCCATACCAAAGCCTCTCCCAACAGAATTTTCTACATTCTCCTTCCTGAGTGTATGGCCCTTTCTATCGTAGCTGTGTGGACCCCACTACAAAAGAGCAGATGATACACTTTGTATTGTATTGGGTTAATCCTTCCTATGGTAGATTAGAGAAAATGGTCACGTTATTTTGCCACAAGGTCCTCCTTTCAAGAAGTGGAGTCTATTTCCTCATGCTTTGGGTCTGGGTTGGCCTGTGAGTTGCTTACCAATAGAATGTGGCAGAAATGATATTCTCTGAGCTCCAGCACTTAGACCTCAAGAGGCTTTTCAGCTTCTGTTCTTACCTTCTTTGAACACTGACACACAAGGAAGCATGGTTTACTGAAAAGTGAGAGGTCATATGGAGAAAGCCTTCCTTGTCCTTGCCAAGGCCTCAGACATGGGAGCAAGGCTGTTTTAGCTACTCCAACCCAACTGAGCTGACAATAAATGCAACCAGGTGAGGTCAGGAGAACTGCCCAGCTGAGCAGCTGAGTCACTGAACCATGAATCAGCAAATCTGACTCAATGAATCACCAAAAAAATAAGATGTTTGTTATTTTAAGTTTTGTGGCAGTTTGGTAGATAGTGATAGATAACTGGAAATCTCCACAACGAGAGAAAGGTGGTGGAGGGAGAAAATTTAGGGACTGTTGGAAGAGTGACTTGGAAAAAAATTGAGAAACAGGTTATTCTTCCTACTCCAGTACCCATTCATCCTGTAATCTTTGTTCTATTAACACAGAAGGATCATTCCCATTACGGAGCTGCAGTGATAAAGAAATTATAATTGGAAAAACATAATAGCCAACGCTGGAGTTTCTAGTTCCTCTATATATATGTAAATCAGACCAGCTTCCCAGTTTTCTTGTATATACTAGGGTTACTATTTATACATTGAATATTTATCTGTTCAGATATTGAAAACTTATTTAAGCATTTTCTTAAGTAAATGAAGGTAAATTTGCCTCCTGTCCCCTCCACCCCAACAAAAAATCATGTATAATGATATCACGTATATTGTGATCGCCCACCATTATTTTATATTCTTCTCTACTTTATTGTGGTTCTTCTCGTGAAGAGTGTTGCATAAACATGAGTACTCAGTCTACTGCACAGTGCAGGAGTTATCTCGTTGTGGATTTAATTCCTCTACACGTGCACACACACACATACACACTCACTCACACCTCTGTTTCCGTGGGCTGGCAAGGAATGGAACCAGAGAGGAGAAGAAACAGCTCTGGGTATGTTACTCCAGGGACATGAATCCCTCTGTTTTCTCACAATATCCTATATCTCTCATGTCCCACCTACTAATGGCCAAAAGTTCTTCCTAAATGGCAGATGCTTTCCTTAGATTGACTCTTTTGTTCCCCGCCTCACCTCAGCACACTCATTGGCATATTGGTTCACTCGATCCACTCTCCTCTTTCGAGCTGTCAGCTCCTCTTGGAACTCTTCAAACTTCTTATGCAGAATCTCTGTTTTCTCCCAGTCCTCACCTAGCTCTACTGATGTCACTATAGCTTCCTGTAGACACAGAAAAGTTTATTGAGTCACCAGCAAACATTTATGAATTCCTGCAGATCAAATGCCCCAAATCCTTGCCTGCATTCCCAGGATAACTCAGAAGGAGATATTGGTGGATCCTGGGGGAACTCCTTCAGGAAAAAGCCAGAGGCAGGAGTATATTTCCTGAGGTGGCACCCTGGCCCAGGGGACAGTGCCCTTTGGGGTAATCCTTCAGCAAGGCCAAGGGCATTGTCAGCCATGGCCCGTGGAAGCAACCTTTTATGTTTTGGAACATAAAACATACATCTGGAACATAACAATAAAGTCATCCCGGTTCTACTCAATTCAACAAACTGAATAACTACAAAAGCAGTGTGCTAAACACTTGCTTGTGTAAATCTTCAGTCCTAACTATAGTATTATTCTTAGGTATTTAGAAAAATAGAAAACTCCGTAGTTGTAGGAACTGAGAGACAAGGGACCAGGGAAAGAGCTGGCAATATGCTCAACCTGGACCCAGAATAAGAGCAAAAATCTAGGAGAAGGCATTAAGGATCGTGGAAGGTAGGAAAGAGATAAGCCTAGATTATCTTTCAATGCACAGTTTCTGCATAAGTGCTGCCTTCTCCATGTTCAGATACATACATTTAGACTTACCCCCCCCACATATACAATGTTAATAATACTCCGGAATACTCCTAAATCTTTGCCAAAATTCCTCCTTCTTTCGAGGAACAAAGTCCAGGAACAGACACACTGATTTCTTTATGAATAGCCTGCATTAAATTGATATGGGTGCCTGGGACAGAGAGGTGGGAAGTCCTATATGTGTACTATTGAGTCCTATACCTTGTCTGCAATCCACTCCAAGATGTCAGCACACTCTTGCAAGTACTGGTGTAGCTTCAGGGCCCGCAGCAGCAGGGTACCCTTCTCCTGAGTCAGCTCTGACAACAGGTCCCACAGATGGCGCAATTCATCTAGGTGGTTCTTTGGGGAGGAGAGGCAAAACCACTCAGGCACAGAGACTGTGGAGAAGGTGCAGACTCAAAGACTTGTACAGAGAGGGACCTGGATAAACATGTCTCCTCCTATTCCCTTGTGCATTAACTGCTCAACAAATATTTAAAGGAGGAAATAGGATACATATGGGAATAGCTATTAAATCCAGCCATATACTATCTTCCACAAGATAAAAATTTTTAGAAATGCTTTGGAGTTTTAGAGGATGAAGTGATTAAAAACGCTCAGACAAGACAAAGTAAGGATTCCTGGAAAAGTACTCATTTTAACTGGACCTTGAGGAACAGGTAGAATTTTGACAGGTAGATGATAGGCAGAGGTGTTCTAAGCACTGGCAGAGTCATAGAAGTAACAGCATGAACTGTTTTCCAGAAAGTATAAGAGCTAAAATTTTGCTGGCTTATAAAGTAAATCAGTGGCACCAAAGCAATAAGAGGATTTTGAGACTATGTAGTCGAGAGTTTTGATGACAGGTTAGCTTGAATATCATGTAGTACATTTCTTGTAAAATTGAAGTTATCATCTATGTCATGTCTTTAAGAATCTTGTATCTTTCAGCTACTCCACTGCTCAAGGTAGCGTGTAGACCACATTTTTATCTGAATCTTGCACAACACAATATATCATAGCCCCAGTGATTCTGATAGATGTGAAGGTATGTCAACCATTTGTCAAACATTTTAATTAAAGTAGAGAATTGGTGGCACACAAAACTGTGAATAATACAAAAATGATTTCTATTTTATATCAAGAAATACGTTGGAGATTTTCTTGTTAGAGATCTCTCTTTCTAATAAGGTTTTGTTCTGGTTAAAGTCTGTGTTCCTTGACCACATTTTGTTGACAGTAAAATGGGGTAAAATTTATATGCTCAATATGGGAAGACCAGTCCCAATTTTTAAACATGTAATACAAACTTGTTTTAACAATTTTTAAAAAAATAAACAGTAAAAAATCCACTTATACAAAAAAGATCCTGAATAGGCTATATCAACAAAAACATGTTGGAAGAGTACATAGATTAAGTCAGAAAAGAGCTGGTACATTAATAATGGGCTCCAAAGTGGTGGGGTGGTGATTTTCAGTGTTCAGTGTTCAGGGAAGATTTTCTGAAGACGAGGGATGTTAGGAGTTTTTCAAAGTGACCGTGAGAGTTTGGAGGGCTACTATAGTGGTTACAACATGTGGGCTATGAAGAGAAAGGAGCATCATAGACAAAGGGAGAAAGATTTCAGGGAAGATTCATACGGGAGAGCAACCCTTGTTTGAAGAGTTTAAAGGAAAAGGAATCTGAGGTCAGAAAAATAATTAGAAAGAACATTTGGGAAGCCAATTCATCTGGGAAATGTGGAACCAGGTTGAAGTGGGCTTGATCTTGAGCCAATTTATGCTGCATGGCATAAGGAGGAATGTGATGCCATCAAGGACAGCTTTTGTATCATAGCTCTTCACGAGGAACACAAGGACATCCCATCATTTTTCCTGCACCAACCCCAGTAGAAGATAAGAGGCAGAAGCCTGATTCCAAGCCAACTACATCAAAGTTAATACCCAATATAATCAATTAAAACCCTGATAACATAATCGACAATTGGAAACTTCTATTCAAGAGCCCTACCGTACATTTACCTTGGTGTCCTCATGGGCAAAATGTCCCTCAGGAAATCGAACTGTTCTGATTTCTTCCAGTTCAGGGATGACCCTTGATTTTGCTTGTACCTCTGCTTCGAAGGATTCATGCTTCCGATATTTCCCCTGAAGTTCAGAATCAGAGTTTATTGATAATGAAGCCTAGTCTCCCAGACCATGAAGAGGCCCTTGGTTCCTCATTTTACTTTTAGACAGAACTACCTCTTTCCAAACCTAGATTAAGTGATAATCCATGATCATAGCTGGAAGAGTCACATCCTAAAAGAAACGATCACTCAAGGCAGAATCACTGCACATAGGTTTTTAAAGGGTTCCAGGCTAAGTCAGGGACAATAGAGGAAGGTTTTTTTCCTGTCCCCACTGCTTTTGGGGAATTTCCACTAAATATTCTATTATTTTAAAGTCTCAGTTGCCTTCTGTGGGAATGAAAGAATGTAACACAGAGTTTCTCCTCTTCAGAAAAGAGGAATTCCTCTTCAGAAAAGAAGAACTAAGTGCTATTGAAAGTAGAGCACAAGGAAGAAGATGATCATAACAATAATGGCTTTTTTTAAATTGAGAGGTTTTTGCATGCAGAATTATGCTATCAGTGTCATATATAAATTGATCCATTTAATAGATATCATTTTGTCCTTTTTCCAGGTGTTCCTTCTCCAACATCCACTGCCCCTTTTAGGCATGTAACCCTTTCTTCTGATCATGACTATGCCACATGTTATAATACAGGTAGGAGTAGGAGCTTCCACCAAACCTCTCCTCCTAGGACCCTTCATTTGTCCTTCACAAGGGGCATGAATAGCCATTTGGGAAAAAGCCTGGTTAACTCATGTCTTTCTGAGGAAAGTAGGGAGCAGTTGTTTCAGAAACATTGATGTCTCTTCACCTCAATTCCATCCTTAATGTCACAAAATATTGAAATCACGTGAATAAATTCCTTGAACTCTCAGTCACCATTTTGCCCATAGCCTAACTTCAGATGAATATTACATTCATAGAATGCTATGTAGAATGAGTTTTCTTTGTATGTAAGACATTGAGGCTTAAGAAGTTGAAGAAGTGGTCTATTTAGAGGCAGAATCACTCTCCTTAACAGATAGTCTAATCTTTCTATTACATCATCCCCCTATGGTTAACCAGATATATACTTATAAGAATGTTTCCCTCCCTAGAGATCTTAGGGTCTGCTCTGGGGAAGTCAGTGGAACTGAGTGACCTGTATGTTAGTTGGGTCTTCATAGCTCTTATCTTCTGCAATCTTAAGTTTCTCCAAGATCCATTTCTCCAGGTCATCTGCATCTCGTCTGAAAACCTGGTAGTGATAGGACTCTTCAAGCTTCTGACCCCTCTCAGCAACCAGCTCCTTGAACCTCTGGTACCGAGTCAACACCTCCTGACGCCTCTTCTGGATCTCCTCCGCTGTTTCCAGCACCTTTGGCCCACCACTTGTCATAGCCTGCAATTAAAAACCTTCTATCTATTGCTGGTTCTCAAAGCTCTAGTATGTTGTCCCTTCTATATGTCCCAAAGCGTTTACTCTTGTTGGACTTATGTTAAGATAA